TTTTTTTTTTTTTTTTTTTTTTATAGTTTGCAGAATACGTACGTACAATCGTATTTACCAATCAATGATCATTTTCTATATATTATTCTCAACATTTATGAATACACAGATTTTTGTAAATAATAACACAGCAGCTCTCTGTGTTCTGGTTGGAAGAAGTTGCTATAGTTGCTAGTTGGTAGATGCAATTGGAGGAAGTATTAATAACAGCGGAAGCTTTCGATCGAATGCTTGTTTTAGCGCTTTGCGTAATGCAATTGATCAATTGTGCTAATTAATAAAAATTAACAATTAAAGTTTTCACTGCAGTCTATTAATTAAAATGACACGCATTTCAACATGTATTCCGGTAGTATATTGTCTTTTTACACATTTAACAGACGTAATTCCCATTAATTCCAATAACAACTGCTTCGCATACGGTGTATCTTGAAGATTTCATAGTTCATATTTTCATAATACTTTGTTAAAAGGCACGTTTTAACATTAAATTAATTTTAACGAATCACAAAAGAATTTTTGAACTATTATGAACTGTTGTGTAATTGTGAATGTTGAATGTTTTTTTATACATTTGATCATGTATTATAAGAGAGACTAACAATAAGCTCGAAGGTAAGAATCTCATCTTCTTTAGAATACAACTCTAGAACTTTAGAATACGTTTTTATACAAATTGTTATGATAAAAACAAGGCTGGAGAATTATACTTGAATTTTGTAATTTTGATTTAATATTTAACTAACTCGCTGTTTAATTTATATTTGTGTATTATAGAAACCACTACAACTACAACTACATCGTCACCATTCGTTACATCTGGCGTTAACGCTGCAAGTACGTGCTATACCTATTTAAGGGATCTTAAATATCGTGTTAGAATATGTTTGTAGAGAAATAAATTTGCGTATATAAAGCAATGAAGAAAATGTCAATGTATGATTGAATTTTTATAATGAAATAGAAAACTGTCTAAAATGAACCAGTGATAAAATAAAATTGGATATGTTTGTGAGAATAAACAAATCCAATTAGATTATAACACTAGATTACAATATAATTAGATTACAATACTAGATATAACATTAGATTATAATACAACACTGGTAAAAATATTAACTAATGTTAGAAATATCGATTACGTTATTTCTATTATCTCAAGAGTATATGCAGGTCTGTATTGTTTACAGATATATCAGCGCAAACAACAACTCGAAATTTCAATCAAGGTATTTGATAGTTTTATATAATTCAGATCAGATGTAAATTCACAACTATTAATAAAATATTATCGTCGCATAGTCGTCTTATCGTTTTATTATTAATAACATGATCGAATTTAAAAGTAATCGTGTAGCTAATATTTTTCCAAACACTGATTCATTTGAGATGTCGTGGTTGGTGTACTGCCAGATGAGATGCAAACAACTCCAGAAAGAAGTCATGCAGTGAGTATTGAAAATGAAATTTAAACCACATCAGAGAACTATAGATATGTATAATAATAAAATCAATTGATTTATATTGCTAGTCACCAACGGAAATTACTCCCGGCGAAAGTAACATGATTAGTGCGATTGCTGTTCCTGGACCTAGGGTAAGTATTTCAACGTGTTTTAACAAAAATATGCACATATGTATATATTTTATATTTGCAGCTAATATCATCAAGGACACGTGTATTTTTTATCGTAAAATCTTTTAACGATTTTCATCATTTTTATAAATTAGGGTGAACCTGGTCGACCTGGGGATATAGGTCGTCCGGGAGATGCTGGATTTCCAGGTGAGCCTGGATTTCCGGGAATTCCAGGGCCTCCAGGACCACCAGGACCCATACCTGATGTGGGTAGTCATTGATATTCATTTTTCACTATTCATAATTTATTACTTGATTACTTGACGTTCATTCAACGTTCATCAATTAACATATTATTATTAACTATCTTGTGCGTTTGATTAAAATTATACATTACAGTTGGTACTGTAGACACGTTTTCTGCTAATAAATTGATATTAACAGGTGTCAATGTACTATCAACAATTAGCTTTGTCCCAAGCAAATCAAGATAAAGGCCCAACGGGAGCAGCAGCTCCTTTATATGGCCCAGAAGCTTATTTACAAATGCAAACTGGTCCTATTGGACCGCGTGGTGCACCAGGTAATTATGTTTGCTTTAGTAATTATTTCTTACTATTACTGCTAATTATTAAGATGTTGTCATACGACATTTTTCAACTCGAAACAGGTCCACCTGGACCATCCGGGCCGCAAGGTTTTCAAGGAATGCGAGGAGAACCTGGTGAACCTGGACCTTTAGGCCCTTCAGGAACTCCAGGTCCCAGAGGATTACCCGGTTTACCTGGAAAGGATGTACGTGCTAATTAAATTTGTGATCTTTTACTAAGATCGACGTTTATCAATTGCAAGGATCTCTTCCCCGTTGAGAAGAAAATAAAAATTTCTATAATAATTTGCTTGTTTAATAGGTTAGTTTTTTTTTTGTTTTTGTTTTTCGCCTTAAATTCGAGTTTTGTACTGTTGTTAAAAATAAGAAAGCGTTCTTAAGTTTAAGCTTAAATGTTACACGACTCACCTTAAATGCTATATTTGTGAATAAACAAACTATCGCGCTATTTGGCGAGATTAGACATAAAACTATATAGTAGATAAAGTCGGAGACATAAAAGTACACGTTATTGTTGTTAGGGTAACACCGGTGAAGACGGAGAACCTGGTCCTGCAGGATCGGTTGGTCCAGCCGGTGCTAGAGGCCTGCCAGGAATGCCTGGTCTTCCTGGTGTGAAAGGACATCGAGGTTTCCCAGGATTGGATGGCGCGAAAGGAGAACAAGGTGTATCTGGCGAGAAAGGATCCATGGGTACACCTGGCCCGATGGGACCTATAGGTCCGGTGGTAAGTACTGGCCAGTCATATTAACTCCTTGAAATAAAATTTGAAATTTCTATATACTTTTTATAAATTTTCAAGGAATCCCGACGAATCCCTATCTGTAGCTTATAAAAACGAAAACCTTTATCATGATCTTATTAATTATTGATTAATAATTTTTTCTTCTGCAATTGGCAAGGATTAGGATTTTCGGTTGTTTCCTAATAGATGTTGTTTGAATCAGAGCGCTTCGTAAAGGTTTATTGTAGGAAAATTGTGCAATTTGCGGTTGTATCCTACCATGGCGTGGATACCGACAAGCAATCAATGAAATTAATTTAAAAACAATATAAATTTCAGTCCTATCTTCTAATATATAATTCATTAAATATTTAATAATTAAATAGGGTCCTGCAGGTTCACGCGGTGAAAGAGGCAGAGAAGGTCCGCCAGGACCTCCGGGAATTAGAGGTGTGGATGGAATTGTTGGACCTCCTGGACAACCTGTGAGTCAAATAAAAAAGATAACAAATATTAAATCGACCATACTAGTAATAAAACATGTGACTTTTATAGGGTGCGCTAGGTAAACCAGGTTCTCCTGGCTTTCCAGGTAATCCAGGTGCAAAAGGAGATCAAGGAGCACAAGGACCAAAAGGAAGTCAAGGCATACAAGGCCCTCGAGGTAAATAGTTTTCCTTACCTTAGATATGGTACTATACTATTCACTATTTACTATGAGCAACTTGAAATATTCAATCTGAATTTTTGGCTGATTTATATAAAAATGTCGCATACTCTACTGTCCTTTACTTTTAACGGATATACACCCCAATGATTTCTCGCTGAACTACATGTTAAATTAAGTAATATGTAATGTGTCACATACAAAAAAAAAAAAAAAAATGGCAGTAAATTATTTACGAAATTTTATAAAAAATCTCAAACAAGGGACAATAAAAATTACAATTACGAACAAGAGAAATATACAGAATGTATGAAACAATATATTTCAACTTTGAAACTATGTCTCTCGTATGTTAATTTCCATACATATAACTTTCTCAATTTAATAAGAAATATGATGTATTTAATTTTTTTTTTTTTTTTTTTGCATAGGTGAAACCGGTCGTCCTGGACAACCTGGTGAATCAGGACCACAGGGACCCCAGGGAAAAGATGGAATCCCTGGAGAAAAGGGAAGTACAGGAGCACCTGGTTTAGTTGGTGCTCCTGGTTTCCCTGGAGCTCGAGGACAACCTGGAATACCTGGTAATCCTGGCATTCCGGGGACGAAAGGCATGCCTGTAAATATTACTTTTGTATTCTAACTCTATGAATTTCTTAAAATTTTTATACTCGCATACATTATTTTTTATTATACGTTACAATAGGAGATACAAAATTATAATTAATATAATATATATATTGTATTGTATTGTATTGTATTGTATTGTATTACATCATATCATAAAATACACAGGGACTTCCTGGTGAAAGAGGATTTAAAGGTGACAGTGGAGGTAAAGGTGATACAGGAACACCAGGACCACGTGGTTTGCCTGGACCTCCTGGAAACGAAGGTAAACGAGGAAAAAGAGGAATGCGCGGTCCAATTGGTGTCCCTGGCCCTACTGGAGAGCGCGGAGCATCAGGTGCACCAGGTCTTCCAGGATTTGATGGTCCCATGGGACCTAAAGGTATATGCCGTCGTAATTATTATTACGACAATTTGTTAAAATCATTGGTAAAATTAGAAATCGACATTGTTCCTTATTATTAGAAATGAATGTGGTTTTCTAACGTTTTATTTGAAAGCTTATATTTTAAAATTGTTCACATATAATGTTAATAATGTAAAATATTATTCATAATTTATTCTCAATAAAAAGAATACTTCATAATATATTATATACCATTAGGTCAACCTGGAGATCGTGGACCACCTGGACCAATGGGACTAAAAGGAGCTACAGGAGATCCTGGTCGTCCAGGACAACCGGGTTTACAGGTTTCTATTTATATAATTTATATAAAACTTTAACAGTACAGGAAAATATATATATAACATAATTTCGTCAAATATTTTTGCCTGGGAAGTTGATCGAATAACAATGAACAAAGAATTACATTTTAAATTTTTTACAACCATAGAGAGTTTAATATGAAATTTATTTCTTTGAATAGTCAAGTTATATAATATTTTTTTCTAATGGTGCACGCTTGAGTTATATGTATTATTATTACAAGCTTTCTATTTATAGATACTCATACTTCAACACATTCATTGCCAACTTTTCTGACTGTGTGCACATCTGGTGTCGACTGCAGACTGTGACATTGAATTCGTTCGCTCGCTTGTGACTAATCGGTTCCCTCGGCACTCCACTGTTATTCACCGATCACATGTGACCGATCAATCGCACTGGCAATGAATGCGTTAAAAAACTTTTAATCTTTGAAGCAATCTTTCCTTCAAAGTAATAATAAAATTCCATAGAAATCCGCAGTTTTACTCGTAATAATTTGAGATGATATAAAAATATATAAGTATCTTAAATTACATAGAAAGAAAGGAGAAGGAGAGAAAAGCAGCTTATCAGTAGCTTTAAAATTATCGTACAATTATTACAATGAAGAAAGAAGACTTGAGATATAATATCAATAGGGTACGCGTGGATTAATGGGTCGCCCTGGTGCTCCTGGGAAACCAGGAAATCCAGGAGAACGAGGAATTCAAGGTGCTGATGGAAAGTCAGGTGAACAAGGCCCACTTGGATTACAAGGTTTACCTGGTCCAATAGGTCTTCCAGGAGAAAAGGGATATCCGGTATTGATGATGTTGATATTTCTGGTGTTTTAAATATCGAACATGCAAAAGCGTTATTTTTACGGAAATGTGTTTATCAAAAGGGCGAGACTGGAAAAGCTGGTGAACCAGGAAATCCTGGACCACCTGGTCCTAGAGGTGATACAGGAAAAGAAGGAGTCCCAGGTCCTCAAGGTTCACCTGGACCATCAGGAACAGATGGAGAACGGGGAGCTCCAGGGTCTCCAGGCCCTAGGGGTTTTCAGGTATATCCTGAAAGTTCAAAAATATTAAAATCTATAATCTATATTATACCTGATTGAATAATTGATTAGTCAGACGGCATAAAAATAAAGTTTTCAATTTTGAATGGGCGTTATGCTGCTGCGATTATATGATAAAAACACATGTAACGGGAAAGAAAAGATAATAAGAAAATTTTATTACATTAGTCTTATTGTTTCATTGCATATTCCATCCTTTTTGCAATCAAAATTGTCTGAATGATAATAATGAATAATAACTTTATAACTAATTACTATTCAGTAATACATGAAACATAGTTGTTAAATATGAATATAAAAATGAATGTATAAAAGGAGCAATATAATTTCGTCACATAATTTGATGTAATTAGGGTTTTCCAGGTGCTATTGGTAATCCAGGAACACCAGGAAAAGATGGAGAACCAGGTGTTCAAGGACCACCCGGTCCATCAGGTGCACCTGGAAACAGAGGTGAACGAGGATTTCCCGGTGAAAGGGGTATACCAGGAGCACCAGGACTAACAGGACCAAGAGGAGAACCAGGTGTACAAGGATTAGATGGACCACCTGTAAGCATTTCTAGACTTTTTTATGTGCTTATCTTTTTAAATTTATTCAACGCAAACTACTTTTTACATAAAAAGATCCACAATTTTTAATATATTATTTGATTATATTTCAGGGATTACCCGGAGAAAAAGGAGATAAAGGAATTTCAGGGCCACCTGGATTATTGGGTTTACCTGGTTTACGGGGAACTACGGGAGAATCGGGTCCAAAAGGAGAAAGAGGATCTAGTGGACCACCTGGTCCTGAAGGACCTCCAGGTTGTACATTAAAGAAAATGTCTGTTTATTATTTTAAAAAAGCATATATCTATTTTATTATGTTATATTTTGTCGTAGGACGGATTGGAGAACGTGGACCGCAAGGTCAAATTGGTCCGCCAGGTCCACCAGGCGAACCAGCGGAACGAGGCGATCCTGGATTACCTGGACCTCCAGGAGAAGTGGGTGCTTCTGGTAACCCAGGAGAGAGAGGACCCCAAGGATTACAAGGATTGCAAGGCTTTCCAGGACAACAAGGGCTTATTGGTTTACCAGGATTAAAGGGTGACCGTGGTTATCCAGGTCTGAAAGGAGATCAAGGAAATCCTGGTTCACCTGGTACCAAATAATACGTATTAAATAAAGAAAAAAATATATCGAGTTTTATATTTTATATGAGTATACGCTTCGAACATAAATTATTTAGGTAGTCCAGGTGAAACTGGGCCACAGGGTCTAATTGGTTTGACGGGAGCTAAAGGAGTACGAGGTGAACCAGGTATTAGAGGAGAGCCTGGTATTATGGGACCACCAGGGGTACCGGGAATCGTTGGTGCAACAGTACGTTTAATTCTATTATTAGGAAATATTACTTAGATTATCACAAACAATAGAGAATATTTATATATTTATAAACGAAATATTTATATATTTATGGACGGTGTATATTCGTTGCGGACAAATTATACAATATAGAATTATGAATCATTATAGGGTCCACCAGGTGCACCAGGACCACCAGGTTCACCTGGATTACCAGGTAGTAAAGGTAATATTGGAGAAGCAGGACGACCTGGGAGTCCTGGACCTACTGGAAGTCCAGGTTCACCTGGTGCAGATGGAAACAAAGGAGAGAGTGGTTCTCAAGGACCACCGGGTATTCCTGGACCTCAAGGTCCTCAAGGTTTCCCTGGTGAAAGAGGATTACCTGGTTTACCGGGTCCTTCTGGACCAATAGGTAGTAAAGGAATACGAGGAGCGCCTGTAAGTTTAACTAACTCTCTTGTTTTGTAAAATCTATTTCAGTGAAGTTATGAATTATAATTAATTTATATTTAATATAATATAACAGGGTGAAACTGGCATACCTGGGAAACCTGGAACGGAAGGTTTACCTGGACCTCCTGGACAAATTGGACAAATTGGACCACCTGGACCACCAGGAGAAATTGGAGCAGAAGGTCCAACTGGTAAACCTGGACCACCTGGAATAGCAGGTCGTCCTGGAGATAAAGGACCACCGGGAGCGGTAGGACAGACAGGATTGCCCGGTCCTCCTGGTTTACCTGTAAGATATGACAATTATATTTTTTATAGATCTTAATAATTAACCAAATATGCAATGAAAGTTAAATATAAAGTAAATTAAATATAAAGTAATAATGTGAAACAATTATATAAGTATAAATGCTTTGATAATTAGGGGTCACATGGTCAAGCAGGTCCTCCAGGACCAGCTGGAGAAAGAGGACCGAAAGGCGAAACAGGACCACTAGGCGTAGAAGGGCAACAAGTTAGTTTAATTATTTTTAAATAACTGAAATAAAAAAATAAAATAATACTATTTCTATAATTAGGGACCTAGAGGAAAACCAGGACCGATAGGGTTAGAAGGTCCTAAAGGTGATCGTGGAGAAGAAGGAGAAAAAGGTGTGAAAGGTCATAGAGGATTTAATGGTTTACCAGGTCTACCTGGGCCTATTGGGCTGCCAGGAGAGAAAGGAATACCAGGACTTCCTGGATTACCTGGTAAAGATGGCGAACCTGGATCTAGAGGTAGTCCTGGACGAGATGGTAATCCTGGAATAATTGGACTAACTGGCAATCCAGGACCAAAAGGTCCTCCAGGTGAAGAAGGTCGTCATGGACCACCTGGTCCTCCTGGTCCTCCAGGACCTCCAGGTCCACCTGGTGAACTTGGTTTAGGATATGATGCTGCTTCTTTAGCTGCCTTTTTAGGTGATTATTATCATTTTCTCGATTACTTTTATATTTACTTATTTTCTGAGTAAATGTAGAAGTAAAATTGTGAAATATTGTTCAACACAATAGAATCAATTGTATTGTCATATGAATAGGACAAGGTCAAACTAAGGGACCAGATCCATTAATTGGTGACGAACCACCTAGAACTTTTAGTCAGGACATGACAGAAGAAGAAAGGAAGGAACTCATTTCGAAGGCATATAAACAATTGAAATCATCATTTCAGAAATTTATAAGGCCAGATGGTGAAAAAAATTCACCGGCCAAAACTTGTAGAGATCTTTATACTGCTTATCCGGATAAACTATCTGGTCAGTTCACAAGTTGAAAAATAATGTATTTAACACGATCGTACGGTAATTTATTGTTTTGGTATAGATTCATGTATTAAAAATACTTTTTTATTATAGGAGAATATTGGGTGGATCCCAATGAAGGTGATGCAAGAGATGCAATTTTAGTGTATTGTGATGCTAAGAAACGTGCAACATGTTTATTACCAAGTCCAGTACGTTCCCCAGAAATCAAGTATATTACTGATCGACCAGAAACTTGGTTAAGCGAAATAGAAGATGGAATGAAGGTAACGTTTTTTATTGTTATTACATACATATATTTTATTGTTATTACATACATATATTCAATGTGGAACTTACTGTCCTATATTTTTAATATCCATAATATACAGATTATGTATAAAGCAGACAGTAATCAAATTGGTTTCTTACAACTTCTATCGACACGTGCAAACCAAAATATAACATATCACTGTAAAAATAGCATAGGCTATTTTGATTCTGAACAAAAGACATACAGAAAAGGTATGAAATTCTTAACCTGGAATGATGTGGAGTTAACGCCACGTGGAAATCAACGGTTAAGATATGACATGATAATTGATGAATGTAAAGTAAGTATTATTCAGATGAGAATTTGTTAACCTTGAAAAATTTTCAACATACCATAGCATTCACGTCAATATTTTTTATAGATATACAACGGGGAATGGGGCAAGACAATAATTTCATATCAAACTGATAAACCTGTAAGATTGCCTGTAATAGATGTGGCTTTAAGAGATATTGGAAAATCAGATCAGAGCTTTTCTATTGAAATTGGTATTGTTTGTTACGAATAATAAATTTAACTTACACAAATATATTTTTACACTATTATTACACAACTTGAAAAAGTTTTCTCTACTTAATATTTTTATATAATATGTATATACATATAGCTTATAAATTCAAATTACTATGTGATTTAAATATCTTATTACGTATATTAATTATTAATTTTTCAGCTTTTTACAATACAAATTGAAAATTATCATAATTTGTATTAACATAAATGTAAGTTCACGCAGTGAATATGTCATTGGTAATTGCTAGTTTTGATAATATGTAAAATTTTTAACTAAAGTATTTAATAAATACAAGTCTTCCAATAGCATTTAAATAAAATTACAAAATTATAATTAATACACATGCATGTAAAGATGTTAAATACTTAACAAATATCAAGATAATATAAATGTTAATAACAGTCTACTTCCTATGTTATGCAACAAATTTTTATTCTTTGTACAATTTCTGTACATACAAGATTATGCAATACATAACAAAAGTATATATTAATCTCAATACTAAATTTTGCTTTGTAAATGTATGCTTTGGTGAAATTAAATATCAACTAATTATATTGTTCTCCTATATTCTAAAATATCAACTAATTTTAATCTTTGTTGACTTATAAGTCAGTTTACAAAGGTAGCGGAACCACATATTAAAATAATACCAAGTTAAAACGCATACAATTACTGCAAATGTTTAATTATAAAATACATTATCTTTTAAATATTAATAGTTTCAAAATTACTATTGTGCTGTACTAACATTTATATAAATATGAATTTAGTTGAAATAAAAGTAATAATATTATAATAATAATACATACGTATAAAGAAAATAATATAAAATTTCAATCAAGCAATGGAATTAGAACCAAAATCCTCGTCCATACTTTTGCAATTATGCCTACTGATCGCGTCATATTCAGATATACATAAGTACACACACACATACATATTCAACAGGTGATTGTAGTGGGGGGAAGGAAGCGCGAATTGGAGACTAAAACAAGCTAGCGCCGCGTCATTCAGTGAATAACTTTCGGAGTCACAGTCACGTTCGTCATGGCGTATATGTAAGAATTTGCATGTGGGATTGCAGTGTTGCATTTTATTGTGATCTAAAGATATTTGTAAAATAAATAAATATTACGTTTGTATTTTACATAAAGTTTGTTATATGTATATACAAATAGGTTAAATGGTAAATATCTTTTTATTTTGATGTGAATACTCATGAGAAAGGATAACGTAGCTTTGCGAATATTGATCGACAAATTGGCGGGATATTATTATTTATTTTACAATCTTTGAAAAAGATAAGAGTGAAATAGGTTAATCTCGCATTGTGCGTCATGCAATAAATGAAACTGTTGCCGTAAATACGTGCAATTAATGTAAGTACAGCTACTTAATCAATAATATTTGTTGTTTGTCGTTTATTTATTTAATAATTTGTTCAGTGTTAATTATTACTTGAATATTAAATGAATTTTTTAAATATATTAATTTAATATAAATTAATCAATTAATTTTAATATGTCGAGATTTTTATTTTACTTTGAGTATAGTAACTTCAACACATACAAAATCATACTTTTAATAACGAGTATTAAAAATTTAATTTGAAATTAAAATATGATTTTATTTATTTTCAAGAGAAAAATCTTACCGAATAAACGTGATTAATGCTAAATGTCTTGACAAGTTGTATTCCATTTTTCAAATTTGATCAATTGCGTTTTTAATTTTTTAATTTAAAATATATTAATATACTATCTAATAACGTGAAGGTTAACAATTTATATCTTGTTTAATCTTATTTATTGTAAGAAAAAATTTTACACGGAAGGCAAGTGTAATTCAGTGAGATTCGGTTTCAAATTCGATGTTACAATAACGCGAATAAATTAAACCATTTTAATTAATATTAATTTCAATGTTTGATACCATTGAATTTTTCACTTTTGTACATTATTCTTATTCTTTTTTTGCAGTATTCGTAAATTTAACATTTGTTTGATTTGTGTGCATGCACAATGTGTGCGTACAAACACATATGTATATGTACGCGTTTATCATTTAGTTAGTGGAATCAGATGGTATTAATTTTATCGGTAATATAGAATGGATAAACGTGCATTGCAGATTATCTTCACAATGATTTTGGTAAACAAATTACAGATATACATATATTGGACAATGTTTTGGCAATGTTAATATCCCTTGCGCTTGTTTTGAAACTCTATTTCTTATGTATGTGCAACATGTGATATTACATAATCCTGAGTAATTCTATTATGGTGGATTAAATATAGATTTCGGATGTGGTGTAATAGTCTTCGCGTCTTTTTTCAGCATCCTCGTGAAGAAGATATATGATTTCGAATTCAGCCAGGCAAAGTGTAAAACAATATCGTTATAATATCCGACATTTGCGAGAGCATGACGTAATGCAAAGTAAACCAAATAGTTTACAGAGGTGATTAAATCCCGAAGACATCCTTCGATGAGTACTTGACTCGAATGTTTCTTGCATATTGATTGAATGATTAACAGCCGTCAATTTCAAACATAGATACCATTTATAATTAAAAAAAAAAAAACTCGAGACATCGATCTGTTTATATACCAGTGAGCAATTGTGACACGCACTGACAAGCAAAATGGATCTCTTCCGGAAGTTCAATGGTAAGTATTTTAATTATCTTTTCTTTGGAACTCGGTTTCCAGTTTAAATGTTGCTTGTTACATATATATTTTTGAGCATTATAAGTATTTGCTTATAAGTATTGTCAATTGTTATTTTCTCCTCTGATTTAATCTTTTATTAATAAGGTCGCTATGAGATATTTTCGCATTTACACAGCGAACGATTAATTAAATAATTCAAATATAAACAGATATTGAAACAACGTTCTACTAAACTAGTATTTGTATTCAAATAACAAAAATATGATTGTTTTATTTTCTACGCGAGGTAAGAAAGTTCACTTCTTCTCAATTATTTCGAAATTCATTTTAATGATTTTATTACGTTTTCTTTAAAAATATGCAAAGAACCAGTTGAGAATTCCTCTATGATGACCCAATTTGATTTATAAGAATATAACGGTTGGACAGAATATATTCTTTATCTCCATTCGTGCCATATCTTCAGTTTTCCTAATTACATTTTTATTTAACAAATGAATTAACAATGGAACCAAAAATATCTGATATATTTAGAATATTTTTTTTTTCTCGTATTGAAGAAAAAGTTTATTTCGTTTCATTGTTTAGATTCTTTTGGTTCGTACGTGGTTATTTAGGACAAATGTTATTTGCATGCGCGCGTCAAGAAGAACTATTAATTCATTAAAAGTTAAATACAGAGGTCAATTTCTCGATTCGAATGCTGTTTGCATACGATATGTATATATAAATATATTGGCAATATACGCGTATTGTATTGGCACATACATACTTATGTATGTCAATTGTATTTATGAGCGTATGTGTAACATACGAGACGTTCCAAAGCAAATAGTCCAGGCACCGAGACAATAAAGAAAATTTATGTATGTTGTTTAAGGCTTATGTTTCAAGTTGTAAATAACGCTAAACACGTACCTATGCTACTTGGCGTAGATTCACGATTGCGTAAAACGTCGCTCATTTACGCTCTGAACGAGTGAAAAAACTGAAGAATGACTGAAATAGAAAGATTTGCCAACTGATCGTTGACCTATGGTAGTTTCAGTGTATTAAATTATATTCTTTATCTTCATTCGTGCCATACAACTCGAAAAATAAGTCTAGATCGACATTTTTGCGTATGAATTTTTCTCATTGCTTTCACGTTTCTAAAATCGATTCTAATAAATATTCGCTGAATATTCACTTACTTTATTCATTACGCAGCAATGAATAACCATCGCGAATAATGAATAACGCAGAATAATTTTCCACCGATTGCCGCACTTTTATCATTTATTTTAGAATTAGACAAATTCTGGTTTTATATCAGATAAAACTTTTTGAACTCAATTTTCTGGAGGTTTTTAAAGAATTTTATTTTTTCTTCTCGATTTATTTTTGTCCATG